TGGAGATTACTCTGCAGGAATTCTTCACAGGGAAGCCTGGACTCGTCTTCCCCTCACCATGTTATCCTGCATTCCTTTCTATCTGTTCCCTACGACTAGCTAATCTAACAATGTCTTGGGGGGGGGGGGCTAGGAAAAGGGAATGGAACTTCCCCACACTTTTTGAAGCCCTCTCCTATAGTAACAGAAAGGGCCACGCCACCCCTTCCTCTACCACTGCTAGAGTTCAAAGTCTAACAATCCATGGGACGCTCCTGCGGCACTCCCTGAGCCTCACAGTATTTTAAACAAAGGGCAGGGGGCGATGGGTATAATAAAAACCTAAGTTAGGAAGATGGTGGGCATCAAATAACTTTTATCCATGGCAGAAATCTTTTCATTCTAGGAAACAGTGGTCCGACAAGCTCTGATGATCTTTGGTTAACCAACATCCCGTGCGACCGTCATCAGTTTACACAGAGCTTGGTGTAGGTAGCAAAACTAAGGTCCTTTTATACAGTCCTCTGTGAAGTCATGATCTCAACTTCTCCCTCCTCGACGCTCAACACTTCCTTTAATCCAAAGCCAGCTCTGTATTATTGGTAAGGCCCATGTCCAACTTCTGAGTGGGCCCTTTTGCTTGGTAGTTACTTGACCACCCTCCAGGATTAAGGTTTTTTTTTTTTTTAAACAGCACTATTGATACTTCATCCATGTCATATAATTCAATCATTTCCATAAGAGTTGTGCAATTATCACCACACAATCAACTCAAGAACATTGTCTTTTTCCTTATACTCATTGTTATGCATGTAATTATTTTTCGTGACAAAAATTTTCACAAAACATTCTCCGGTTCAATGACTTCTACATTCAGTGCCACTGATTATACTCTTTGTGTTGTACAACCATTACTGATATCCTTTTCCAAATGCTTTCTTTTTCATGTTCATGGCATTCTTCAAATTACAATTCAACAGCAGGCTCCCTATTCAGTCAGCCCTCTGCCCTGCTTTCTAGAGTTACGTCAGAGCAGGGCCACCACCACCTGTCACTCTGCAAGTGAACTGTGCCCAGCACTGAGCCTGGTAGTCCTAGCAGACTCCTCTAGGAACCGTTTTCTACATTAGAAAGTGCTGTGTCGTGGAGGGAGGGTGGGGTGAAAAGGGGGAACTGATTACAAGGGAGGGTCTACATATAACCTCCTCCCTGGGGGACAGACAACAGAAAAGTGGGTGAAGGGAGATGTTGGACAGTGTAAGATATGACAAAATAATAATAATTTATAAATTATCAAGGGTTCATAGAGGAGGGGGAGGGGGGAGAAAAAATGAGGAGCTGATGCCAAGGGGTCAAGTAGAAAGCAAATGTTTTGAGAATGATGAGGGCAGCAGATGTGCTTGAAACAATGGATGGATGGATGGATTTTGATAAGAGTTGTGTGAACCCCAAATAAAATGATTAGATTTTTTAAAAAAGTATGAGATCCCAATAAAATGATTTAAAAAAAAAAGTGCTGTGTCAGTCTCAGCCCTCAGGAACCCAAGACAAGTGAAGGTACTGGAAGAGCATACATGTCTCACTGATGTCCCATGATAGTCTGCTTTATTTATATTTTAATTAAAATACAGAAAAATAACTTGTGGGGAATCCCACAGCCTCGGCTGTTCTGGAGGCAGCTATTAAAGAAGCCAGAGTCCTTTGCACCTAAGTGTAAGCAAGCTTTCCTGCTGAGCTGTCAGCAATGGGAATTAAAGGGAAAGATTGGGATGTGCACATTTTAATTAAACACCAGCTAGGAGCCCTGGTGGCACAGTGGTTGGGCTATGGTCCGAGAGGTCAGCAGTTTGAAACCACCATCTGCTCTTGGTGAGAAAGATGGAGGAGCTGGTCTCAGGAGGTCACAGGGGCAGTTCTCCCTTGCCCTGTAGGGTCACTATGTGCTGGCATCGACTCGATGGCAATGGGTGGGTATCTAAATGTCACTTTTCATGAGAATTTTTCACTGGTTTCTCCCCTTGTCAAAGGGAGTAACACCACTCAGTCCACAACAGCTGAAGGGTTAATGAAGGCACAGGAAGGCCCTTTGTAAACCCTCAGGCAGTGGAGCTGCTAGTCAGAGAAGGAAGTTGAAAGACGGACAGCGGAGGACACAGAAGCATCTGCTTGCGGAATTTCACTCACAATCAGTCCCGGGATGGGAAACAAAGGAAGGAAGAGGGCTGGTCGTGTTGGGTTTCTTAGTAATTTGCGGTTTACCGGATCTCCCGTTAGCTTCAGGGCATAGGCTCCACTGGCGAGGAAAGCTCACGCCTAGGCGTTCCATCCTGGAATCCGGTGAACTCCGTTTGCTATGCAGCTGGAAGATGTCCAGCCTTCCCTCCTGATCCCCAATGCTGCGACTCATGACAATAGCAATCCCTAGCCTTGAACAACAAAGAAACTGAGCCAAGTGGCCGCAAGTGTGCTGCCTGAGCAGGCACCCAGATGCCCACCTTGTTCACTGCTGCCACCCTGCATGATGGGCTGCCAAGGGAGAAAGCAACAGGAAAGGGCCCTTATCCTCCTCTCTTCCCCCTATTTTCCAGCCTCATGCTAGTGCTGCCTATTCAAAGAAATGAACTGTGCAGGCAAGAGTCTGGAAAATGCGTATAGGCTGCAAACCCAGAAGTAGGCAAAGTACCGACAGGAGTTTTTAAGAGGTAAACACAGGGCATCCCATTAGCTACAGTCAAATACAACCGTCAGCTCAAAAGCCTCTGCCATCCCATCAGTTTAAATAAGATGCACATTTCAGATCCACGAACCATCCCTTGCAGCTCAGACACAGTACCGCAAGAAAGGGAAAGATCTCATAGGGTGGGCAGGTATGTGTTCCAGCCCCTGGTGGCCAAAGAGACAAACAACAAACAGACAAAAAAAGCTCTAACAAATGTAAATGCTTTATTTTTCATATTAACCTTAAAACAGAGAATACAAACGGAGATCTCATCCCCTGCCTCAAAGCAGGGTCAGAGGACAGAGACTGTGGATGGATTTGGAGCCCATAGAACTTCAAACCTCAAACAGGGCAACAAGCTTATAAACATGGATGAGGGGATGGGGTGGCCCAGAGGACACCAGAGCCTAGGTCTACAGAGACAAATCGTGTGTGTGTGTGTGTGTGTATGGATGTTCACTGAAGAAATCAGTCACATCTACATGAATTTGCATCCAAATTTACGGCAGGAAATCGAGGATTAGCAAGACGGGGAAAATAAAATAAAATAACTTTGTGCAGCCCAACAACTAAGGTAGCCAGGGCCTGACTGCCTGCAACCTCTGTGTGATAGTCTGGTGAAACGATAAGAGTTATGCCTTTCAATTTTCAAATCCTGCTCTGCCACTGGAGCTCCAGACCTGGGAAGCCACTCTTCATCACCAACGTACTTTAAAAGGACTAAACTCCTCTCAGAGGGGCTCTTTCCCAGGCCTGGAAGCTGGTTTGTGGAAAATGCCGTGGAATATACAAGAAGAGTAATTCAAGAAAAAGACATGTCCAATAAAAAAGTTCCTTAAGAGGTACAAACTGAAACCTGGAATAGTCTGGGGAAATCTATCCCAAAAACCCTACCTAGTGAGGGAAACTTTGGGGGACCTCTGCTACCAAAAAGAAACAGAGAAGTCCTCCAAGGGGAGAAAAATACAGCCCTGATTTGAACAATGTGGGGTTAAAATGGACGAGAGTGGGAATCTCTCCACCATCTACAGTGTCCCCCATTACTGCCTTCTTGAGAACAACCACTTCACTGGTAAAACGATGGAGGCGTGGAGGCAGGAGAGCAATCTGAGGTGCTCCTCCCTCTCGGGCTTCATTCCGTGAGAAAGCCCTCTGCTCTCGAGCAGGAGGAGCAGTCAGGCTCCTCTGTGGGATGCCCTCTCTCAGTCCCTACTCGGTTCCCATGAAAAGATTCCAGTCAGTGTTTTGATGCATGGCTCATCTTTCCCTAGAGGGGGAAATAGTGGTCTTCAAATCCTGAGCGTCTGTAAAACCATTCCTGAGATCCTAAGCTGTCCAAGGGGAATAAATGCATCCTTTGGAATGCTTGGTTCTCAGAATGGGTTGGACTTAATGCCACCATGGGTTTGCCAATTCCCCAGCACGGCATGTCTGGAACTTCACTGTTGACCACCACAGAGCAGGCCGTATGTCCTGTCACAGACTCGGGATGAGAGACCAAGGCTCCAGACCGGTGGTCAGCCTGAGGTCAGAAACAAATCAAGCCCTATGGAAGGTTCTGTAGTGCCCTCTTGTGTTCAATTAAAGAGACTACAGTACCCCACCAAGTAACATTAAGATCCCTTCAGGGGCCCAACTGACAGAACCACTCAAGAGGGTCCAATGCCCCAGAAAATGTCTGGTGCATACCCCTACCTAAGTAACATGCTGGAAGGGCATTCTCTGAGGTCTAGGCGAAAGTTAGACCCAATAGAAAGATAACCCAGCCCAACAAAGACTAAGAAAGGCCTTTAACCCATGAAATGGAGACTGTGGATGGATGACTGGTCAGGCATTCATCTTGATGGATGCAGCTGCTGGCACCTTTCACAGTGTCTCTGTGACCTGAAGTCCGAGAATCAGGCCAATCCAAAGAAATCATGAGTTCATCAGTTCTAGGTTGCAGGTGATAAGCAGTGAGCTTGCTCGAGGCTGCTAGGAACTGGCACAGATACTGTTAGCAATAACCAGCGGTGAGTCTGATGGTCACCCCCACCGATAGATGTAGACCATCTTCTCTGTCAAGGTAGCCAAGTAGTTGTGATGATTCACCTCAAATGGGCAGATGTCCAAGACAGGCTGATCTGCCCGCAGTTTCTGCAGCAAGGAGCCACTGCTGGCATCCCACAGCTGAGGAGGACAAGCAGAAACAAAGGTTAGGAGTCAGTCAATTAAACTGGGGCCAGGCCAGACGTGCTTTCTTTTCTTGTCAATCATCAGATTATTTATCTGGCTGAGCTACATATGCAGATTGCCTCCACCCTTCTTCACTGAGGGGCTGAGACCAGCAAGTAGTTCACCAGGAAACAGATAGGCAAACCAAGATTCACATTCATTCATTCCTTCAGTCTCTGTGACAAGCCACTCTTCCAGGGGAAGGGGTACAGATGGGTCAATATGTCAAAGTCCTCATCTTTGCCCTCATGGATATCACCTCTAATCGGTGTTCCCCTCCCCTTAAAAACACACACACACACAGCCCTGAACATTCATGTTCAACGACGATTAATATCTCACATTTGCTTTATCTATCTCATTTTTCATTTGCCAACATCAAGTCATTTTCTCCCTAAATACATGTTCTTATACCTCAAGGTCATCATGTACAACAAAATGAACAAGCCCAGTCATTACACTAATACCTAGGCATACATCTTTAAAAAATTTATTTAAAAAAAAGTTTGGTTTGTGCAAACCACAAGGACATTCCACTTGGCAGTTATATATCCTAATCTTCAAATCTACATCAGTCAACCTTCCAGTTTTTCCTTTTGCCAATGATTTGTTTCTGGGGACAGTTTGTTTGATATAAAACGCCCAAATCCTGAGTGTCGTGCACCCCACCCACCCTCCAAAATATGTGCTATAAACCCTAGCCTCTATGTTATCTCTGTTATGTTAATGAGTAGGATTAGTGCGTGTGGGTGTGCCGAGACAGCAGAGGTTAAACAAGCCAGCGAGCGAGCAGAAGTCTGGGAAGACTGGATCAAGACACATCTCTCCAAGGAGCCAGAAACAAATGGTTGACACAAGAACCTTCTTTCAGAACAACGCCTTCCCCTTGACTAGGCAACACTTTAAATTTGGACTTCTAGCCTCCTGAACCGTAAGAAAGTCGGTGTTTCTTAAAGTCACCCGTTATGGTATGTGTTACAGCAGCTAGAGACAACAAACCCTGGGCATGTCTGTCTGCTCTCTGCAACGGAAGGAAAAGGCTCGCTCCACTGTGGTGCTGCTCGCGATGCCGGGGGCCTCCTCAGGCATTCAGTTAGCTATTCTAAAATGAAATACACTCTTCAGCTGGAGTAATCACATTTCAAGTTCTCATCTGGCTGGAACAACTTAATCAAGCAGCTCAGATACAGGTCTAATTAGATTGGCATTCAAGGATATCTCTAGGAGGTGCTGGGTGTTCCATATTGGCTAATTCACTTGCGGTAATGCTAATGTGGGATGATAGAGAACTCTTTTGTTTTACATACTTGTGAACAAAAATGTTTACACATACACATAATTTTCAACTTTCCGCTAGTGAATAAATCTTTATGCAAATTGCTTTTATATAAATGAAAACGAACAGGCTCACCAGGGCTGAATTTGATGATTCATCACCAGAACACACCAGGAGGCTACCATTATTCTTTGGGCTTTGGAAAATGGCATTTTTGGTCAGTAGTTTGCAAGTGGGCCCCCCACAAAACGTTTGGACTGGACGGCATACGCAGACCGGCTCTCCAGCATCATCCTGGCTGTAAGACATCTCCATCAGCACACTTCGTTGGGTGTTATGGTTTTTATCTAAAGGACAGAGAAATCAATGTTGGCCCATGAAATAATACAAAGAGAATTTTACCAAGTTCTTCAACCTCAGACACTTAGAATTTAGTTGGGTAGAAAAGTCACATATATTAATTAAACTATCAAGGATAGATAACAGACAAAATAACAAGCTACCATAGAGCACAAAAGAAATCCAGAAGTCCTAGGCTAGGCTAGGCTGAAGCACATCCCCTACAGTAGAGGCTTTTACCTGTGAAGAAAACAATTCTGAGCAGGAGTTATCTTTTTATTAAAACCACTATATTCCATTAAATCTGTCTGGGGGTTTATTGCTCTTTGAGTTCTGACTGAAAGGCTCCCCCGCTCCCCATTCCTCAAGTGAGGACCCCACAAACCCATGGAATTGTGTATTTCAATAAAATAAAACATGTTACCAAGAAAGTAGAGGAATAGTTTGGTGCTCAGCTGCCAAACAAAAGGTTGGCGGTTCAAATCCACCTGTGAGTTTAAGCCAACATAGGAGAAAGACCTGGAGATGCTTAAAGAGGCCACCGAGGAAACTCCACGGGCAGGTTTCCTTGGCAGCACCTATCAACAACACACAAAAGCCAGGAACAACATGGGTCCTCATGCCTTCCAGGCATGTCAGTCACAGCAATCACAGGCTTAGAACTCAAAGACAATGGAAGGATTAAGAACCTGATGTTAGAGGAGTGCAGAGAGCTTGCCAGCCCAAACGCAAGAAAACACATTAGTTCTACCCACAACTATCAGAAGTGTGAGCAATTGGATACAGGTGCCTGACCACTGTTATGGTTCAACAGGAATTTAGAGTCAGACCTTCAGTCTGGAAACCACCTGGGCACAGGGGGCTATCAGGTGTTCTCCCCCTGGGTTGAGAGGTCCACATGCCCATGGATGTTCATCTATTTACTACCTTCCTCTGCTCCAAATGAGTTACTAGTCAATTACTCTAGTCTGAGTCCTACTTGGCTGGCTTCATCTACTAAAACATGAAATTGATCTGAGGTGGCTCAACGGCCGGCCACACAACCTGGCATCCCGATTCACGTAGCCATTACTTTATGTTGCAGGGTTGGTGAAGTAGCCAGTTCACCTCCAGGGAGTAGCTGGCAGTATCTGTTGCAGTCCTCACTGGAGAGGACCAGAGAGGCAAGTTCTATGGGATTTAGGGTTGCCACCCTCACTGCAATATAACCAGGGCTCTATCCAGTGATGGGCATACTGACTTGTGCCACCCCTCACCTCTACCCATTCACTCCCAAACCACGGGAGGCCCTTGGAGCACACCCCACACTTACCAGGCCTGTAGGTCACGAGGCAGTGCCGAGTGTTACTCTCCGTCTGAAAGTCTGTGCAGCCCCCTGGCTCTAAGGGCAGCATGTGAGGCCAATGGGAAAAGCCTGTTTTCAGCTCCCAGAAGGACGCATTCTCCAGGGTTCCAGCCAGCAGCCCACCACAAGGGAACACAGCCGAGGCAGCTCTGGGTATGTACGACAAGGATACCAGCGGGCATCTGAAGGGAAGGGGAGGGACCACACTCACATTCCAATACTTGGATTGCACCAGAGCCCACCACCAGGAGGCCCCCTAGTACCTCTGACCTCTAGCAAGGTTGTCACCTTCCCCTGGACCCCTATCCTCTGGTATCTCATAAAAAGTGCCAACCCTTTACCATACACTGCATCCAATTCCAAGAGACTAGAGGCTCTACAAGCAGTAACAAGGCTAGCCCCATCACAAGGACAGCCAGTGAGGAATCATGATTTACATCTAATGTTT